AACAGAAATGTACCACTATGCTTTCGTCAGCTTGAGGAAAGCCTATTGCAATAGAAGGAGTGTCAGCACCTCCAGGAGGAACAGAAATACAGTGACAACTTGAGTCACAATTTTTGTGACACAACAAGCAGTGATGCACACTCTGTTCCTCCAGGGGGAACAGAAAATGCAGTGACAACTCATGTCACAATTTTTGTGACTCAACCGGCGATGCATACTCTGTTCCTCCAGACAAATTGTGACACAAGCGGTGGTGCACACTCTGTTCCTCCAGGGGAACAGAAAATGCAGTGACAACTCGTGTCACAATTTTTGTGACTCAACTGGTGATGCATACTCTGTTCCTCCAGGGGGAACAGAAGTGCATCTGTGACAACATTTTGTTACAATATTGTGACACAAGCGGTGGTGCACACTCTGTTCCTCTAGGGGGAACAGAAGTGCATCTGTGACGACTTTTTGTCACAATTTTTGTGACACAAGCGGTGATGTATACTCTGTTCCTCCAAAGGGGAACAGAAATGCAGTGACAACTTGTGTCACAATTTTTGTGACCAAACCGGTGATGCATACTCTGTTCCTCTAGGGGGAACAGAATGCCTCTGTCACAATATTTTGTTACAATATTGTGACACAAGCAGTGATGCATACTCTGTTCCTCCAAGGGGAACAGAAGTGCATCTGTGACAACTTGTGTCACAATATTTTTGTGACCCAACCGGTGATGCATACTCTGTTCCTCCAGGGGGTACAAAAATGTGCAAGCCAAAGTAAAACTTGCTAGAGTGCCCTACTGCTTGATGCCCTAGCGCTAGGGCAAGCTGAACCTGGTCCCTAGGAATTTTTTGACCCTAGGGCAGGATGACCCAGGTTAGGGCTAGGGATCCTGCCCTAGGGATTTTTCAAACCCTGGAACCCTAGGCCCCCTCTTAGCTCCAGAATCCCATTCATGTCTCCATCTCTGGAACCTCTGGTCTTAGCTCCAACCTTGGACTTTGACCCCACCTCCGCTCATACCCATTGTATTGGTTAGCTAATTCCATTTATTTACCTTTGCCAATATCCTGGAGTTTGACTTCCAAGTTTGGACTTTCTGAACTTACTTTGGACCTTGCAACTATTGCATTGTCCCATTCAATTCCACTATTCTCCCTCATTCCTATTTGGGCTGCTGCTTCTTTCTATTCAGCTAGCCATCCCCAACTCCCATCCTCCCATCCTCCTTGGGCCTTGGCCCTTCACTCCTCCTTTGGGCAACACCATTGAGTCAAACACTTGACCCTCAATGTTGTTCCTCCTTCCAACTCCCTTTGTCTCCTTTCAGACTACCCTTGCTCGTAACTTGTAACCTCAGTCCGAAATTGACTTGATTTCCCCCCTAAGAGACTTCCCCCTTGCTAGATCCAAAATTAGGGACCCCCAGGACAACCAGCAATGGCACAGCACTCTGCCTGAGTCACTGAGGCCAAGGTCCTTCCATGATAAGTCTCCAATTCCATTCCGGAATCATCTGAACCCACCGAATCTAACAGTATCTATATATACTATACTTGTACATAGATACTGTCATATCCGTACCAACCTCCAATCTACTGCGCCACCATTCCGGTTCACCTCCAGTTTGTCCTCTCCCTCACCTCCACCATATCCTCTGGTATACTTCTGGTCCACCTCCACCTCCGATCTCCAGTACCTTCTCTGGTACCCCTTACCCTCATCCCAGAAGTTTATTCATATTTCTACCTACCCAACATTACTATGGACCTCCTAGGACCTCTGCCAACCCTGCAAAGGTTTTCCCATTATCCAATAGCTGTCGCTAATCCCACCCTTCATCTACCCACTCCACAGTGCTCGATAAGGTGATTCTCTCATGAGCTTGCCAACCCGGCAAGTGGGTAAGTCCATCTTGGGTTTTCCCTTTCTTCTCATTTGTCTTGTATTATGTATATAAGTCATGTACCATAGTTGATGGCACTTCAGTGCAAAATCGATGACTAGATCTCCCCAGAGTTTGTGCCCCCTCATTCTGAAGTTAAGGACCCAACACTAGCATTACCAAACATAGGCACAGCGCTCCTCTCCAAGTCACTGAGGCCGCAGTCCTTCCGCTCATCCTCTACCTCCAGCCTGCTTTCTGGGGAAAGGTCCAGACATGCTCGTTCCCTCCTTGCCGTGTTTTGACAGTAGGCAACTAAATAGCCCAGTGGAGGTGGGGATGCACTTGTGGACATCAGAGCTGTCTGGAGGCCTTCAGGGGTCCATACTTAGGGAGGTGTAAGTAATATATTGAAATGGGGGGGTGGTGACCATCAGGGTAGTCAGAGGGGATTACAGGATTCAGGGGCTCCAAGGTTGGGAATGGCAGAGCAGAGGCAATTGGGGATGGCCAGTTGCAGAAGGTGGTGGTGGGAGATGGATATGACATAATCAGAATTATAGTGAAGTAAGGTTAATCCCTTACAGTGATCCAGCTCCACTCCTTCAGTGCTTATTGTCAGGGCACAGCCCTCAACCCCACACACCCTCAGACACCCCTTCCCCCATTTTCCCCCATTTCTCCTCCACTGTTCCACAATGGTACAAGTATGCAAACCCGTGGGAATGTTCTGGGCAAGCAGCTCACCCAGAATCTTCCCATGATACCTAATATGGAAACTCAGGAAAGACCCGACAACTGCACAGTTCTCAGGCTCCTTTTGTAGCAGCCTCACAGGGGGTTGAGAGGTTACCCTTCTTCTCAACTCATTCCATGTGAAGCCCAGGGCAAGTCCCCTCAGCAACTTTGAGGAACTAGTGGCTGGAGAAGACTCTCCAGTGCCACTCCCAGACCTCCTGTCAGAGATGGGCTGGGTTCTGTCAGAGTCGGGGTCAGAGGTGATGCAGAGGTCTGTTGGAGCAGGCACACACGGATATGCGGGCAGAAATATGCGGCGCGTCTGGAAGTGCTGTTCAGGGTTAGCAGAGTGGGATCGCGGCCTCAGCGACTCAAGTGGAGCACTGTGCCCTGAGCTTGACATCTGGGGGAGATCCCTTATTTACGACTCACAATTACAGCGGACTTCAAACAAGACTTGCAGGCGGAGCGGGCCCATAGGAGGAGCACGGACTCTGCAAGCACGGACTCAGAAGGGGGGAACAGAAGGAGGGACTCAGACCAGACAGGGTGGGGTACTCTAGTTGATTTCAGACTGAGGTCCCCGAAAGTATTTACAATGTTAGAACCGGGTGGATTCGGACGACTCCGGAGTGGAATCGGAGACTTAGCGTGGAAGGACCTCGGCCTCAGCGACTCATGCGGAGCGCTGTGCCATTGCTGGTTGTCCTGGGGGTCCCTAATTTCGGATCTAGCAGAGGGAAAGTCTCTTGGGGGGAATTCATGTCGATTTCGGACTGAGGTTACAAGTTACTATGTACATTGTATATAAGGAGGGGTCCGGAATCAAAAGGAGCGAGGGTAGGACGAAAGGAGACAAAGGGAGATGGAAAGAGGAACAACACCGAGGGTCAAGGGTTTGACTCAATGGTGTTTCTCAAAGGAGGAATGAAGGGCCATGGCCCAAGGAGGAAGGAAGGAGGTTGGGAGTGGGGGATGGCTAGCTGACTGAATAGAAAGGAAGCAGCAGCCCAAATAGGAATGAGGGAGAATAGCGGAACTGAATGGAGCGATGCAATAGTTGCAAGGTCCGATGTAAGTCCAGAAAGTCCGAACTCGGAAGTTAAACTCCGGAATATTGGCAAACATAATTAAATGGAATGAGCTAACCAATACAATGGGTATAAGCGGAGGTGGGGTCAAAGTCCGAGGTCGGAGCTAAGACCAGAGGTTCCGGAGACAGAGACGCGAACGGGATTCGGGAGCGGAGGTCCGGAGTCGGGAGTATAGGTTTTGCGTACTCGTCTGGAAGGTGTCGAGGTTGGGGTCGGACCCAGAATGTTCCGGAGTCGGACCGAAGGTGGTGTCCGAGCCGGAGGTGGGATAACCTCTTGGAAGTCGGCAAGGAGAAGGTGACGGAAGGGAAGTAGGGCTCCGGAAGTCAGAGTTCGGAGTTCCGGGAGCCCGGAGCGGAGGTTGGGATTGTATGGATATGACATACAAGGTATAAGTAGGTAAAAGAAATCATAAGAGGGACCGGTCAGTCCGGTGTGGAAATGAGCAGGGACTTGTCAAACTAAACCAAGGACAAGAACCCGGGAAATGGGAGGCAAGGAATGAATAAAGTCAAAGTGGATCAAGTACCAATATTGACAGATTAAATGAATGAATTGGAAGGTGCAATCACACACAGATCAAATGCCAATATTGGCAATGAAATGGGTGAACATAATAGGCACTTGGCAAGGAATGAATGATATGATGCCAAGTGGCAAAAGGCCAAAGGGAAAGCAGGGCCGGCATGCGGCACCGACACAAGTCCGCGAAATGGGGTGCGGGAATCAGCGCGGCGCTGATCAGTCCGCAGACAGAGGGTGGTCCGTCAGTGCTGTCACAAACAAGGACAGCATGATGGCCAGCAAAGGTATGGAGTGTTGACCTGACCACAGGGTGTGGAGGGCAACCAGGAGCAGCAGAGGTGCAGGGGTGCAGAGGTGGGCAGAGGTCCGGATGTGGGGAAGGTCCAGATGCGGTGCATGGCTGTGACCACATAGCAGAGGATGGGTGTGGTTCAGATGGAGATGAGGCAAGGGGAACTAGAGGGACTGGATGCCAGGAGCACCAAGGGCTCGGGAACTGGAGGTAAGGTCAGAATGCCAGCAGGGTCCAGGGTCTGATTGTTGGCCAAGTCTCATGCGATAGGGCAGTGGGGCCAGACATCGGATTGAGGGCTGGTTAGATTGGGTTTCGGGTCAGCAGATTCGCCTATCGGCATTGATTCACCGCTGACAGAGCCCCAGGATTTGTCAGTTGTGACACCTCCTCACTATGTCCCCTCGGACAAGGGATGGACCCTGACACTTATCAGCTTCACAACCAGCCAAAGGCAGTTCAACTAGTTGGTATAAAAATGCAGGTATTTTACAAGAGTGATGGACTCATCAGGTGCTGCGCCCAGCAGCTGCCAAACTAGCAAGAAAGTGAGCTTCTGTGTTGCAGCAACCAAAATCTAACATCAAAGTATCACGAAATGCATCCTCATCAAAACTAGTGGTCTGCGATAGGCAAATGATGACCGCAATTTTGAATGGTTCTAGGTATGCAGTCAAACCCACACATGAGGGCATCCCCAATGAGTCGGTTACCTGCACCGACTTTGCTGGTGATTTATCACTCATCTCCCTTTGATCTATTGCAACAGTGTTCAGGTCAGTACAGGCAATCTCCAGAGCAGCAACAGGCACTAGTGCCTACAGCTCACCAGTGTTCTCAGCAATCCATGCTTTGATCATCCGACACATCTCAATCACAAAGATATGTCCAGGAACATGCTCCAAAATTGTTTTTAATTCTGGCTGTCCGAGGATTGGTTCCCAATCTAGCGTGACATCAACTTTGTGAATATCGGCTTATGAAATACTTAACTTGCCTTGGTGGGTGTAGGGTTCAATAAAGGCAGAGACAAATGATTTACTGACCTCCCGATTCCACGGCGAGACTCCTATATTGCTATAGCTACCCAGGATAAAAGCATCGAAGATTCTTTGGGCGTTCGGGCGCCATTCTTCCAAGGCTTGGTCTGGACCACCGAAAAAATAAGTTGCCTGGAACTATAAGATCACCATTCACTAACCATCGAATATCATGTATGATAACTGGAAGGCGTTGGGAGTCAACTTCCAAAATTTAGAGCACGGGTCGCCTCAAACTCAACGGCGGAACGAGCCGAGGTTGATCTGAGCTCTTGAGCGCAACAACGACAATGCAGAGCAATCATGAAACCGAAATTCGGCAATATCTGTACGGTGTCCTGAAGAAGTACATGAATGAACACATTCTAATTGGCCATGTCACTGAGGTGGGAGTGCTCCGAGGCGTGGCAACGCGTCTAATGAGTTCCCACTTCCTCTAGCTTCTCTCTCAATGCCTTCCACTTGCGTCTTCGGGCTTCCGGAGATACCCATGACTAGACTATTTCGTGTTTGCAACGTGGTGGAGATCCAGCCACCTGCTGTCGAGCAATGGACTATGGATTCTGATGATCAACGGTATCTGCGCGACCATCTAAAGTGGAGGGCCTCTTTTCAGAGTTCAAAACTGGAGTCCATGCGTATAATAATAAAGTGTGATCCAGGTGCGGTGTTATCAATGGCATCTTATCCAGAATGTGAAACTGATGATAGAAGGCCCCTATCTCCTCCTTTGGTATCGAGGCAGATGGTGCGGAACATGAGGAAGGCTTGCTCCTTGAAGCCTCTCGGAGTGGCTGCCATACTGGACGATGACACTTTGATGAAGAGTTGTTAGTTACCATTTCTTCTGGATCCAAGGATTCGTCGTTCAACTCGAACACTTCATGGTCAGGAGTCGGGAAGTTGATCACGACCTAGAAGAAACTCGGTACACGGAGCCGTTTCAGAGCCCATTGCCAAACATCACCCGAACTGGGATACCTGGAGGCTCGATTCCGCTTGCCGTCCGAGATTCCCTTTTCCACCCAGACTCACCTCCCACCATGGCGCCTCGCCCAATCACCCCTCCTCTGTTTCTGCGGGACAGTGATCCTCTTCGAAAGCGATGTCGAGTACCTCATTCATCTCCACCGTCAGCCTCAGTCCGGGCGCTGGGTTTATCAGAAAGACACCGAAACTTGGAATCACCTGCGCGCCAATCGCACGCCGTTTCTGCATTTTCCGAACCGAGTGGGAAGTTCGTTCCTCGTATCAAGTTAGAAGACCCTGAGACCAATCTCACAAGAGAGAACACGGCAGCTGTGGATGGGTGGAGTAACTCTTATTTTGTTTGGTGGGTATCTCATCCTGTTTCATTAGTTGCGTATGTTCCCGCCGCTGCTGACTTCGTCACCTCAGATCAACCTGTACCTTCTCTAATTGCTGACCAGAGCGCAGATGACCCCGGGAGTGATAATATCGATGGAATATTATGGGAACAATCGCCCGAGCCAGAAAGGCACTCTTTTTAACAATCATTGTTGAGTCCCGCATGGTCCGTCAAATTGCACACGGAACGATGTCTCCTTTAGTTCAATCAGATGAACTTTGCAAGAGATTGCGGCTTGAAGATACTATTGTTCCGTTTGGGAAAAAATCTCAAGATATACACCAGAAGCGCAAGTAACTTCGTTGATCAGTGAGGCACTAACTCAGAAGAACGAGATATCGGTGGAACAACCTGTGAGCGATAATGACGAGGGCTTCTTCAACATATGCTATCATCCCCTCCCTCAGCTTACGAGTTTCAAGGATTTACTTGCTCTGCCTTCCATCAAAGGGCTACCTAAATCGCACGGGGTTGACAATTCAAAATCAAAAAATGTCTTCCGACTCGCCAAGGTTCAAGCACTACATATTGACCACACTCATCCCCGTTGGAACAATACAATCGTAGGTTATGCATGTCCCTCCCCAAACGGCGGTCCGGCCAAACCGAGGCACCTGCTACATCACACCCGTTAGCACCGTTGTAGGTGATGTGCGCGTCGATTAATGTCCTTAACGCCAGTATGATCGACTTCAACCCTGATCGCGGCTCTATGTCCACACATCCCGGTAAGCGCCCAAAATCTATCGATCCCACCCAGCTTTAACATCGAGTGTAAACGTCGTACTCCATTCCACAGCTCAGGGTTGCAACACACAATCCTTTCCAGCCCTGTTGGCCATCTCTGCGCTCCCCGAAAACTCCATTTCCGGTAAGTGTTCTCCCTGTTTGCTCTCAGCGTTGCAGCTAACAAAAACTTTCTAGATACCATTGAGGGCTCTTCTCTTCATCTTTAACGATGACTAGAGGTGCTTCGCGCATCGCTAGTAAATCACAGTTACCGTGAAGATATCCGACTGATGAGGGCCAGCAACACCGCTGGCACTCACGGTCATTTTGGGCTACTGGCCTACCCCCTGCAGCGCCAACCTCCCGTTCTAATCCCGTGTAGTACACTCAACATTCCTACACCCCCCCCCAATCAGCTCTTCTACCCAAACGGTGTATTACATCACGCGCGGATACCCAAACCCCTAGTACAGCGTTACTCGTGCATGGGCCTGTAAGTTCCACTGCTTGTGGTTGGGTATAGCAGCAAACATTTTGCGCATCGTCTTTTAACATCAAACGGCACTAACAATCCCACTTGGTGGACATTGTCACGACCCCTACCCCGGATTGTGTACTGTCAATTCAATCCTTATTAGTCTCGTACTCAGGTTCGGCTTTCTGGACATCACTCATGCACCAAGCGGTGCTTACATGACGTGCAAAATGGTGTGATCAGACATGAACCTCAACCTTGCCCTTCTGTGTGAGGGCTGCTGCTGAACGTGAACGAGAGGAGGCTGAAGAGGCCAAAAGGGCCACCGAAGTGTTGAAAAGGAGGAAGAAGGAAGAGGCAGCGGTGAGGAAGGTGAGTAGTAATACAGCAATCTTTGGTTGATGGAGTGGGCAGTCTGGTGGAATTCTGGAAAGACAGTGTTGGATTGCACATGACCAAAGGAGGTCATGAAAGCTTGGGGGTATGTTTTTGTAACAACCTTGCCAGTGCGGTGTGGGTCTGACTGCCAATGATTCCCATAGACACGATTGAACATGGTGTCATATCCCGGAATCCCGACCCCGTGCACTCCCACCACATCACACCTTCCTAACAACTTCACCATCCCCTACACCTTGCCTCCCCACTCTCCAAGTCACCTTCCCTCCTGACTGTCTCAGCTCCGGTCTGGTTGCGGCACACCGAACCTTGGCCACTCCCATCCCGGAACCTCGGTCCGGAGTCGGAACATTCGGAGATCCCGGATTTGCTCCGATATCCTGACGGACCTCCGACATCCCGTGACATGCCCTTAAACCCTTCCTCCACCCATTTCATTTATTTGAGTCACCCAACATCCTTCGGATACGCAACTCCGCTTTCGGAGCTACCTGCATCCTTCGGTGATCTCCCTCACGTTATCACTTATTAGTCATCTCCCATTCTTAGCACGACTACCTTCTTACTACCATTCAGTCGGCTAACCCCCTTTATCCATTTGTCTTCCCCATTCATTTTCCGGCCTCCAACTCCGCCCTCCTTGGCCCGACACCTTGGTTCCCCGTTTTAGATATCGTTCAGAACCTTTCGGTACCTCTCGGTATCATTCGGTACCTTTCGGTGTTTTCCCCATTTTGTCATTTCAGGCTTTGACTAAAGTCCTCCCCATCCTCCTTTAATAAATACACGTAGATTAGAACCTGTAGTTCCTCAGTTCTAATCTCGACTAAAAATGCCACCCAAAGTCCCTCTGAGTGAATCCTGTCCCTGTTCTACAAGACACCTCAGACATAAGAAATACAAGGACTAACTGAGACGTAACGGAGGCACAGCGCTCCCTCCGAGTCGCTGAGGCCGCGTCCTTCTTAGAGCCTCTTGTACCATCCAGCAGAACCGGGCTCCCTGAGAAGCTCGGTTCACTACCGGAGCCCTCGGACCCCCCTCTAGTTGAGCCCCGCCTGCATTCGGACTCACGCATTGACCCCCTTCTTCCACAACCTCCGGGGTTTTTAACACATGGTGTGGACATTTTCCAGTTTTAGAAGAATCCCCCCAGGGGCCTCAGAGTGTCTGTACAAAGATATCTTCCTGTTGATGATATTTCCACCAGCATCGTAAATATTGATGGGGTTGTTATCTTCATCTTCATATGGAAGCTTGTCCAAGTCATCAATTTCCTGTCCATATTCATCAAAGATGTTAGAATGGGCGGATTCGGACGACTCCGGAGTGGAATCGGAGACTTAGCATGGAAGGACCTTGGCCTCAGCGACTCAGGCAGAGCGCTGTGCCATTGCTGGTTGTCCTAGGGGTCCCTAACTTCGGATCTAGCAGAGGGAAAGTCTCTTGGGGGGAATTCATGTCGATTTCGGACTGAGGTTACAAGTTACTATGTACATTGTATATAAGGAGGGGTCCGGAATCAAAAGGAGCGAGGGTACTCCGAAAGGAGACAAAGGGAGCTGGAAAGAGGAACAACACCAAGGGTCAAGGGTTTGACTCAATGGTGTTTCCCAAAGGAGGAGTGAAGGGCCAAGGCCCAAGGAGGAAGGAAGGAGGATGGGAGTGGGGAATGGCTAGCTGACTGAATAGAAAGGAAGCAGCAGCCCAAATAGGAATGAGGGAGAATAGCGGAATTGAATAGGACAATGCAATAGTTGCAAGGTCCGAGGTAAGTCTGGAAAGTCCGAACTCAGAAGTTAAACTCCGGAATATTGGCAAACGTAATTAAATGGAATGAGCTAACCAATACAATGGGTATAAGCGGAGGTGGGGTCAAAGTCCGAGGTTGGAGCTAAGACCGGAGGTTCCAGAGATGGAGATGTGAACGGGATTCCGGAGTGGAGGTCCGGAGTCGGGAGCATAGGTTTTGCATACTCGTCTGGAAGGTGTCGAGGTTGGGGTCGGACCTGGAATGTTCCCAGAGTTGGACCGAAGGTGGTGTCAGAGCCGGAGGTGGGATAACCTCTTGGGAGTCGGCAAGGAGGAGGTGATGGAAGGGAAGTAAGACTCCGGAAGTCAGGTTCGGAGTTCCGGGAGCCCGGAGTGGAGGTCGGGATTGTATGGATATGACAAAAGACTTGTCCATGTTCTGCCATGATGTCTGCAGGATCGATAATTTCTGTTCCCCTAACTACACAGGCACTTTAGGAAGCAGGTGGTCAAAGCAGGTGAAATATATAATACATATACTGGGGCTTACCGAAGGTGGGTGGCAAGCGCAAAACTCCAGCATGAGATGTGCTCAAATGAATGATTCTGGTGGAAATGAGCCACAGTCTCCTCAAGATGCTCAGTGTCAAACTCCAAGTCTTGGCCATACTTCATGGTGATGATGAGGGGTGATTGGGAAAACCAAGGGTCATCTTTCCACACTCCTGGGGCATTTCGAACAAATTCTGATTCATATCTGTCAATCAGTGTCTGGTGCATTGAGCGCACATCACGGAGTCTTAATGTGTGTCATAACCATTCCTGGCCATCGACTTCCGGTCCCTCCGTTCCCTCCAGTCTAACTCCGCTCCTCCTTCACTAACCTTGGAGCTCCCGTATTCTGCAATCCTCTTGGCACCCCTCGATGGTCACCACCCCCTCATTTCAACTTATTACCTACACCTCCCTAAGTACAGAGCCCCGAAGACTTCCGGACAGCTCCGACGTCTGCTAGCGCACCCCCGCCTCCGCTGGGCAATACAATCGCCTGCCCTGCAGAGCCTACCTTTGGGCTTATCCCTCCTTTCTGTTTCTGGGTTATCGCCTGCCTTTCCGCTAACCCCGCGACCCGACTCATCGGTAATATTCAGTTGGCTAATGTTTAACCCCGTTAGCTCCGCTCCGTTCAGCTCCGCCAATTGCGGACCCGTCTTCACTGTAACCATATATATATCCCGCTTGTACATAGGTTACACTCCAGTAATAAAATCAACTAGAGTTACCCCCCCTAGGTTCTAATTGCCAGTCAGTAAGTTAGGGCACGGATGTGTCACTAGGCACAGCGCTCTTGGCAGAAGTCGCTGAGGCCGAAGCCCTCCGCTACGGAGACATTCCTTCGTCTTGAATCTGGTCTCTGACAATGTGGCCCTGCCTGACTGATTGTGCCTGTGGCATATGGAGTTAGTTGGAGTAGATCATAATAAGTAATATATAAGTAATATTTTTGCTCACACCCAATCTGTGACTTGCATGTATTGTTGAAGCCCACCATCCAACTCCACATAGATATTAGGTTTCCTGGTTGAGTAGTCCCTCTGTGGAATTTCGCCCATTGCCCAGAGAATGATGCATGTTGCCATTCGCACATGAGCCCTGGTCATCAGAGTGGTCCCAGTATGCATGCCAGTGCAACCAGGTCATCAGTGCCATCCAGGAACCCTTTGGGTGCCATGGAAAGGTACACATTGTCGTGGTCCTTGGTCCCAATGTGGAGCATTCGCCCAGTGGGGTCAAACCCAAGATCACCACAGTGATTGAGGAACTCACGCACAGAACCACAGAGGTTCAGGTGGAAGCACCATTCAGTATTTGCACCAATTGTTGGGAGGATTGCATCAAACCCAGCACGATCAGGGACTTTGAGTGAGAAGTCAATGAAATGGCCTGCCATCATGTGGGTGAAGGTTTCTGAGCCACCAGGTGCATAGAGATGGGCATCAACTTCCAAGTGCCACTTCCTCAAAAGGCTGAAGGCCTTTTCACCATCTCCCTTGTTGTAGAGGGCTTGGAGCGGGCTTAGTTTTAGGGGATGAGCCATTTTGCGATAGTAGCGATCCCTTTCAGGTTCACTTGAAGCAGACCTTGACCCTACCATTGCCCTAGCGATGACATCCTGTGAGACAGATCCATAGCCTTCCTCTGCCTGGGGGTTATCAATGTCGAAGGGTGGAATTGTGGCCTCAACGGAGACAGGGTCAATAAGCTCATCAACCATCATGTCAGACATAGTGGGGGTGCAGGAGAGTGGGTTGAGGCAACAAGAAAATATGTGATATATGACAGTTAGAGCCAAGGGGGTCCCAGTAACCAAGTTGATGGCAAGGGCAAAGGACATGCCAGTGAAATATATACTGTGAGGATATATGGGCCTAGGATCAGATCGGATCAGCTAGATCGCCCCTCGGGAAATTCAGGGGCGATCCAACCCGAGGGTGGAGATCAGGCCAGTTTTCTGTTGTCTCTACTGGATCGTGTTGTTGTATCTAGGTTCGCGAACACAACTATGATATTGTGTCAACATTATGGATATATGCTTGTTGTATGGGTTTTCTTTAACAATATGATGAGGCATTTCAGGGCTATTTGTCACAGCAAGCCAAAGAAAAATGGGTGTGTCCCATTTGGATAAATGATCTATGGAGATTGTGTGAGAATCCAAAAATGGTGTTCATTCAGAGAGTTAATCATGAGATCTAATGTCAACAGCGCTTCTAAGTAATCCATGGCCATCAGTGATGATGACCAGATATAAAATGCAATGTTCCATAGCTCTTTCCCCCCACACTGGCTCTGAAGTTCCAGGCAAATGGGGGTGACTGGGGGGACAAGGCTCCCAGGTTGGGCTTCCTCCAAGAGCGCTGTGCTCACTTACTGCTTCATTCCTCACATTTAGAAGTGGCTAGGGTGACATCCCACTGCTTTCTCACTGAGATGAACAAATTATATATTACAGCAACAGTCAAAAAAAATCTGCACATCAAATCTTGACTGCAAAAGATGTGATTTGCCATTTAGGAAAAAAAAATCACCATGTCCCAATGGCACCACCAAAAAAGGACATTATTACTCACCACTTTATTACAGCAAGGGACAGAAAAAATGGCACCACCATCTTGAAATCAAAACCCCCTCTCTCTCCCAGAGAGTAACCATATCCATGTTCACCCATGATGCAGCTGCCTTCCTCTCCAAGGACAATGACTTGACTGACCTCTTCTCCATCCTCCACAGCTGGTGCATAGCATCTGGAGCCAAGTTCAACAGTGAAAAACAGTTGTCTCGACCACAACATCGTTAAACTAGTATGAGGGAAAGAAAAGAACGAAACACAACACTGAGAAACAAATGGTTATAGTACCAATGCGATTATGAGGAAGAGAAAAGCTAATGACTAGTGGGAGTAACTGTCAGGGATGGCTCTGAAGAGGCAGGGGTAGCAGTGTAATGCTCAGCGCTAGTGGCCCAGATGGTGGCAGGGCAGTGAGACCATATGGTGGGTAGCCCTCACTCAGGCTGGCATCCCTGTGTGGCTTCTTAGGCTGAAGCGGGAATGTATTGTTATTAAGGTGAAAAGCTAAACTAAGTTGAACCACTTGCCTGAAGCAGGAATGAGAAGAAGGGTGCTTCTTTGGTCCTGCTTTGGCTAAGTTTATATACATGTGAAAATGGGTCATGTGGAGGGCCACGTCAACCTCGGACAAAGCGAGGTTGTCATGGGCAACTCCGCTGTCAGAGACCGGATTGAGATGAAGGAATGTCTCCATGGCGGAGGGTTTCAGCCTCAGCAACTTATGCCAGGAGCGCTGTGCCAAGTTACACGTCTGTGCCCTAATTTACTTACTGGCAACGAGAACTAAAAGGGGGTCAACTCTAGTCGATTTGATTACTGGGGTGTAACCTATGTACAAGTTGAGTATATATAGTTACAACGAGGGTGGGCCCGTAAATGGCAGGGCCAAGCGGAGTGGAGCTAACAGAGTTAAACATTAGCCGATTGAATATTACCGACAAGTCAGGTTACGGGGTTAGCGGAATGATAGGCGATAACCCAGAAATGGAAAGGAGGGATAGGCCTGAAGGTGGGCTTGCAGGGCAAGCAAGTGTATTGCCCAGCGGAGGCGGGGGTGCGCTAGTGGACGTCGGAGCTGTCCGGAAGCCTTTGGGGCTCCGTACTTAGGGAGGTGTAGGTAATAAATTGAAAAGAGGGGGTGGTGACCATCGAGGGATGTGAGGTGATTGCGGAATACAGGAGCTCTGAGGTTAGTGAAGAAGGAGCGGAGATAGTCTGGAGGGATCGGAGGCAGTGGAAGTCGATGGCCATGGATGGATATGACAGTATCCCCTTCTTAGGCCTGAACCCTTGAAGGCCCAGAATTAGTAAGGTGAGGGGAGCTGTACTTACAGAAAGAAAAAAATGAAAATGGGAGTGAGGAGTGGAGAGAATGGGAGAGATGGGAGAGGAGTCGGGGTTCCTAAGGAGCTTCAGGTCCAGGCTTGTCTGGGTACTGAGAGTGGAACACTTCGACGAGGTCGGAGGCGTGATCAAGTTCGCTGGCAAGGAACCATTGTGTCTCCTTGTTGGTCCCTTCATAGCCTAGCCACTTGACCAGGTAGAGCAACTTGTTGCATCTACATCAGTCGATCTTGGAGTCGAGTATCTCTTCGATCTCATACTCCATCTTGCTTTCGATTTCTATGGGAGGCAGAGGTGGCTGGTGGCAGTTTGGAATGACATTCGGGACGGAGGGTTTGATCTGCGAGACATGGAATACCGGGTGAATGGCTTGCATGTTTTCCGGCAGGTGGAGAGTGAGGGAGTGGGTTCCAACATGGGCAATGATCTCAAATGGGCCGAGGTTTTTCTCGGAGAGCTTTTTGGAAGGTTGGGTGGAGTGGAAATACTTGGCCTTTACATAGACCGAAGTTCCTACCTCGAAAGCTGGGGCAGGACTCTGACGGGAGTCTGCCAGGCCCTGATAACGGATCTGAGCAAGGTGCATTTCCTCATGAAGGAAGTGATGGAGGGAGTCGAGATCTACAGAGTACTCCTGGGCATGTACTGATGTTAGGTCTCGCTCCAGGTGAACGGTGATGTTTGGATGGTAGCCTTTGTTGGCGAAGAACGGGGAGATGCCTGTGGTGGCATTTGGAGCGTTGTTGTATGTGAACTCCGCGAGAGGCAGGAGTTCAGACCAATTGTCCTGCTGGTAGTTACTGTAGATGTGCAGGTACTGCTCGAGCGTCTGGTTCATCTGTTCGGTCTGTCCATCTCCTTCCAGGTGATAACCAGAGGTGAAGTGGAGGTGGATATTGAGGGCCTTACCAAGTGAACGGAAAAAATGAGAAACAAACTCCGGACCCCTGTCGGAGGTGATGTGGGAAGGAACTCCGTGCTTGGAGAACACATGGAGGGGGAAGAGCTTGGCCAGTTCCTGAGAGGTGATAGTATCGTGGGTAAGAATGAAAATGCACTGCTTGGACAGGCAGTCCACGACGACCAAGATGGAAGTGAATCCGGAAGAGGAGGGTAGCTGTTCAATGAAATCCATGGAGATGGAGTTCCAAGGACGTTCGGGGATGGGGAGTTGTTTGAGTAAACCATAAGGCTTATGACAGGGGACTTTAGCAAGGGCACAAGAAGTACAGGAGGAGACATAGCTCTTGATGAAGTTATGGATGCCCAGCCAGGTATACTCACAACGTACTAGATCCAGAGTCCGGTTTTGACCGAAGTGTCCAGAAAGTTGGTGGTTGTGTTTGTCTCGCAAAACGTGGAGATGAAGATTGTTGGAATCGGGAATGTAGATGCGGTTGTCCAGCCTTAACAGGCCTTCGGCATCAACGGACCAGTGGGAATTGGGGAGGTTGGGGGAAGCGAGATGAGAAGAGATTGTGGTATCGGAGGAGAGGGAGGCTAGAATGCCTCCATGGAGAGCCTCTGTGTCAATGAGTATGGCTGCTTGGATTACCGTGGCAGCTAGGAATGTGGCTCGTAAGGACACAGTGAGCTGCTCCGAAGTGAAGACCGGTCGGAAGTTCTGCAGATTGACGCAAGCGTAGTCCATATCCCCTTCTTTGGGATAGACATCCCAGCGTCTAGTCAACACATCTGGTTTACTCCGAGTCTTCCAGGATGGAATCAGACAGTCATGTGGAACTGGGAGAGGAACTCTGACCAGTGGGCTTGCTGCCGGGCCAAGAGTTTGGTGGTGGAAAAATACTCGAGGTTCTTGTGGTCGGTAACGATGTCGATTGGAGTTCCTGAACCTTCAAGGTAGTGACACCATGATCAAAATGCATCGTGAATGGCGAGCAGTTCCTTATCATGGGTGTCATAATTGAGCTCCGGTGCCGAGAGTGTTCTAGAGCCGAAAGCGATGGGGTGAATCTCTCCGTCATCACAATGGATGGACAGGATTCCGGAGATCGTGTAATCGGAGGCGTCGGTTTCTACAATGAGGGGGGCATCAGGTACCCAATGTGTCAGGATAGGGGCAGAAGTGAAGGCTTCTTTCAAGGTGTTGAAAGCAGAGCGACAATCGTCAGAGAATAACCAGGGGGCTCCTTTACATGTAAGGTGTGTCAAGGGGACTGCAATGCCGGAGTATTGGTGGATGAAATGCCAATAGAAGTTAGCGAAGCCAAGGAAGGACTGGACATCCTTGACTTTACAGGGCTTGGGCCAATCTTGGATGGCTTTAACCTTCTCGATGGACATGGTGAGTCCAGGGGGGAAAGGCAGTATCCGAGATATTCCATAGTGTCCATATGAAATTCGCATTTCTTCGGATTGGCATATAGGCCGTGTTTGCGGAGTCTTCTAAGAACTTCTTGGACATGCTCCTGATGTGAAGCCATGTCTTCCGAGTAGGTAAGGATGTCATCTAGGTAGACTACCACAGAAATGTCCAAGAGGTTGGCAAAGATCATGTTGACGAATCGCTGGAAGGCTGCAGGTGCATTTGTGAGACCGAATGGCATGACAAGCCACTTGTGGGAACCATAGCACGTGCGGAAGGAAGTCTTCCATTTGTCACCTGCTGCAATGCAAACCAGGTGGTAGGCATGCCGGAGGTCGAGTCTGGTATAGACTGTGGCACAGCTAGGTGCGTCAAGGAGGTCTGAGATGCAGGGAAGTGGGTAGCGATCCTTTTTGGTGATCTTGTTCAGCCCTTGGAAGTCAATGCAAAGATGGAGGGATCCATCCTTCTTGTGGATGAAGAGGAC